AACTTCATGAATTATATTACTTAATAAATAGTAATTCAATTTTTCTCTTTTCTCTTTTCCTTTAATATTCACTAAGTAAAACATAACTACTAATCAAAGTAATTAAAAAAGTGAGCTACTTAAAGGGTATAGCCGTGAGGCTAGACTTTTAATTAATCTTTTAAAATTTTATTGTTAGTAATTAAATAATATATTTGCCTTATTTAATTAGTTAAATTTGTAATTATATTTTAATTATTATTTATTTAATGAATAATTAGTATTAAATCTTTTTAATTAACTTCAAGAATTATATTACTTAATAAATAGTAATTCATTTTTTCTTTTTTCTTTTTTCTTTTTTTCTTTTTTTCTTTTTTCTTTTTTCCTTTAATATTCACTAAGTAAAACATAACTACTAATCAAAGTAATTAAAAAAGCAAGCTACTTAAATGGTATAGCCTAGTGGCCGGACTTTTAAAATATTCTATTTTTCAGCGTACAAGCGCGCGGCTATACGGTGAAGATATTCATTTGAGGTGTCTTTTGCGAACACCCCACATCGAAAATCCACGATCGTATAAAGGTCCTTATAAACAAAGCACTATGATAGTTTGGTAAGTGTGGTTAACATTGGAGAGTTGGGGTAATAGGCTTGGCTATAGGCTCGGCTTTGGATTTGGCACTGATTAATAATAATTATATTAATCAAAGACTTGGGCCTTGGGGCTATTGGGCTTTGGAGAAATTTAATTAAGACACCCAAACGGAAATAAGCAATTTATTTTTTTTTCTTTTTGACATGTCCTTTCAATTTAAATTTGAATGAAATTAGGTTTGAAAATTGCACAAAATAATTTAAAATAATAATTTATTATTTATTGAGCAATTTATGAAATAAGTAACATATTTAAATATTCACTAAAGAAATAATAATTAAAACATAATTACTAATTAAAGTAATTCAAAAAGGATAAGATATTACTTAATTACATATATTAAATTGAAGAAGTTGGCCAAAAAAAAGTAAAGAAACAAATTTTATATTTTTAAAATTAAAAAAAATAAATAAACACTTCTCCCGACGAAACTTCATCGGCACAGTTCTATGCCGGCAAAAATTTGTCGGATTAGGCTTCTCGTGACGAAAACACCTCTTCCGATGAAATTTCGTCTGGAGACTTCTTTTAAAAAATATATATATATATAAACTAAGGATGTTTAGGTTAATTAATTTTTTAAAATTTTATTGTTAGGCAGATCCTCCTTTTTTTTTATAGATAGTATAGCCGCGCGGCTATACACGTGATTTTTTAAAAAAAAACAAGCGTATAGCCGTGCGGCTCTAATGAGGTCCTTTTTAAAAAAAATTATAAATAGTATAGCCGTTTACATAGATACTGTGATCTTTTTTTAATTGTTTTGCCCCGATTTTTGTTTATTGATAAGAGTATTTTATAGCCTTATCTATTACTATTAGGCCATTATCCGAGTCTCTATTGTCTTGTATAAAAAATGTAGCATTTTCACGTTTAATACTCGTATTGTACATGTACATATTTTTCATGTATAATACACTTGTTTTTTTACCAAATTTTCAATAATACAAACAAAATGCACGTATTATACACCAAATTTTCTCATATTATTGATTGAAAATTAATATCTATAAATTATAAACTAATGTAGCTAGAAGGGTTCTTTTTTTTTAAAACTTTTTATTAATAAATAGTATAGCCAGTTGGCTATAAGCTTTTTAAATATAATATACTTAAAGAGTATAGCCGCTTGGCTATACCGTTTATGACACGCATGCTTTCCCTCAACGTATAAAAGCCATGTGGTGCTTCTTGGGGTGTCCGATCCATTCTTCCACAGCCATCCAACAGTGCCAATTTTTATGTAATAAAATTTTTTTTTTTTAAACAAACAAACTTGAAAAAATTACCAAAAAAATCTGATTTTTTTTATTTATAAATACCTACCAATATTATTCACTTACCACACCAAATCTTTATACAAATTCTTCTCCTTCCAATATTATTCACTTTGCATACGAAATTTTCTACTACTAAATTTCATTTGTGTAAAAATACAAATAGCATCTTCCATCGAAGCCGGAGGCTCGTGGATAACTATGGAAGATGTTTTGTTGGGTCCAAGTTGGTCATTGCCCGATCACGAGCAATGAGATGAAGTTATCTCATATGTGGAGAAAAATTCAAGGAGAATTTTTTGAAACATCGGGTTCAGCTCGTACGGAAATGGCCTTGGCTAGTAGGTGGAAATTTTTTAATAAAGATTTAGGGAAATTGAGAGATGCGTTGGCAAAAGCAAGGGACAACGTTCGAAGCGGGGAAAATTTTGGCAACGAGTTAAAGTTTTTGTAATTGTTGTTTTATTAAATTTAATGTCATATTTTTTGATATTTTCTTGCATTTCCAATTTGATTTTTTATTATAGATTATGCAAGCACAAATGTGGTTCGATGCCATTGGCCAAGGCAAAAAATCTTGAGAGGTTGTGAAGAATTGTTCGAGATTCAAAATTATTCACACAGGTACGACCGTTGTGTTGAATGAGACACCGCTCCACGATTAACTGGCATCAAATTCGCCGTTGGACTCACCGATGATTCAAGACTCACCAATCCAAAGGGAGCCAAGGCCTAGTGGGAGAAAGGCGGCAGAGGCCAAGAAAAGGAGCACTTCGAACAATAATTGTGCAAAAAGTTTGGAGCAAATTGCTATCAACGTCACACTGAGAATTGAGAGAGACGTGAAAAGAGATGAGGCTAACAAGGCAAGAGATGAAGCATTTGCAAAAGAAAGGGAGTATGCACACAAACAAGACATAGAAAAGAAAGATTGGTAAACAATGGCCATGGATATGAGCCATATGTCCCCTGAAACAAAGTCATTTTGGAAGCAAGAACGATGGGATGTTATGAGAAATGGTACTTGTGTTTTACCTCATCGGCCAATTTAATCCCTGTGTTATCAATTTAGCCAATTTAGTCCTTGTGTTTGTATATGTTAGCAAATGTGATCATTTCCGTCAAAATTTTGTTAAAACTGAAAAATAATAAATTCAAAACTGTAATTAATTATCAAATATCCAAATTCAATCTAAAAATGAAATTAATTAAAAAAATATTTGCCTCGCCCAATTTCAAGCTCAGACCTCAACCACCTCCTAAACCCATAGCCACTCTCACTGCACCAACTTCAACCCCAAAAAGTACACATCGTGTGCTGGTGATGGAGAAAGAAGATGATTGCAGCAAGAAAATACGATTGACTCAATAACTTTATTTGCCACCGAATGCAAGAACATGACTTTTAATAATTAAGTTTTTATTATTATTTGAATTTGAATATTTATAATCAATTTAAATATTATTTTTTTCTTCAATTTCAATTGAATTTTGATGAAAAGGACCACATTTGCTAAAATATACAAACACAGGGACTACGTTGGCCAAATTGATAACACGAGGACTAAATTGGCCGATGAGGTAAAACACAAGGACCATGTCGAGATTTAAGCCATAAAACAGTGTATGATATCAAACCCCCTAGAATGACCATTCCTTTTCCTCAAACTAGTAAATACATTAGATAAATAGAGAATGGAAACTAAGATTGAACAATTAAAAGTTGAATCGGTAAATGCCGGATTTGAAGTGTGAGCGCTAGTCTTGGAGGGAATCGAATTTGGCCTTGCAAATGTTGCAGATCTAGGGTTTTGTTCATTGTGCTCAGGCTCAACGTCACGAACGTCGGTTTTGATGAAATTCTGGGTTGGGTTTGAATTATCTATTAAGAGTAGCCAATATACTCTGTGAATGGACCGATTTGAGACTCTCTTTTCTTGGTGGGCAAGAAACAAGGATTTCGCGCCATGGATGCCCAATATCGTTGAGAAAGGAAGATTGTTATTTTGTCATAAAAGTTCTTTAGATTAAAGGGAAAAACTTCAAAATAGAATTCAATTAATTTTCTTTTAAGTTTTTTTTTTTTTATACAAACATAAATTTAAATTACTCTAAATTAATCTAGGGAAATTCACTATTATACCCAATATATGAGCCCAAATTATTTATAAAAAAAACCTATATGAGATGGACTTTAGAAACACACCCAAAGCCCATTTACAATATAGTAAAAAAGCTTCTAACTTCTTTTAAATTACAAAACTGTCATTGATTTCTTAAAACAAATCAACCCCAAACCTCATAAAAATGCTCAAAACACTCAATAGGGCATCAAAGTAATTTAATAATCAAAATTAAATTCAATAGGGCCAGCTATCATTTTTTGGGTGTTTTTTGGGTTTGTTTATATAAATTAAATGATGTAGGGTTTATGTCTAGTTTTAGTGCTAAGAATGGGCATATGACTAAATGTCTCTTTAATCTAATCTACAAGAAGGGAGCTCGAACTTGGATGCAAGAGGACAGACTCACTATCTTGGCCAACTAACCTAACCCACATTAGTTTCTTTTTAAAAGTTAATTTTACAGAATCCAATATTTTCTGGGTAAGGAAAACGTAATTTGTAATTCACAAGATGTCAAATTTATTGACCTAGAGCTCATAATGGTTGCACTTCCTTTCAATGTTGATGAATTAAAAATGGGTGCACTTCTGGTGTCCGTTAAAATCCAGTCAGTAATTTTGATGTCAAGAAAAAATCAAGCATGAAATGAAGAAATCCTTCAATACAGCCACTACACCGCTACATGGTAATACTAATTCACTCGTGTTATAACAAATGTAATCATTTATTAATACTATAACTACAACTATATTATAACACATGAATTAGAAACACCATGTAACACAATGGGCCACCGTCCAGTTAATAAAGCAGCTAATCGCAATGCTGCTATTTATTTCTTTTTTCTCTGCAAGTAAATCGTGTCCCACCGAAAAAATTTCCCGAAAAGAAATTCATTCACACCAGCTTAAATCTTTCACAAATAACCCTTGGTTGTTACAAAAGCAACTGTTAAGCTGTTTGCTTTTAAGTCGTTGAAAGGCTTCAATTACTTCAATATTGTAGAATGACAGAACAAAGATGATACGGAAGAACCGAACGGAACGCTTTGCAAATAAGATAACAAGAAGAAAGTAAAGTAAGACAAGCAGTTTTTAAGTTATCCATCTTCAAGAATCTCTCTGTGCACATGCATGCATGATGTGCTGCAGTATTTGTAATTATACCTATGAAAAGGGACTTTACCAGCCAGTGATGCATTACAACAGGAGCAGTTAATTTCGCCAGCTACCCCACTTTTGGGTTGTGCGGTGCTCGGTGCAGCGGCAGTGCTGTTGCCTTGAGCACTAAGAGCTTCAGCTGCTGCTCTTCTCCTCTCGGCAGCAGCTGCCCTTTTCTCCCTCTCAGCTGCCTGTGCCCTTTTTAGTTCCTCCTGAGTTGGAATCAAAAAGGGGGAAAGAATGCGGACTTTAATCAAGATGAAAGAAGAGTGCAAATTAAAGTAAGAAGCTATTGCAAACATGCGCCAGCCTAGTTTCAAAGGCTTAATATAAGCAGTCATCGAAAATCTAACAGACCTCTTTAGAGATCTGTGATCCAGAGCTAGATTGAGGCTTTCCCTTAAGAATAGAAGATGTAGAGGATACTTGGTTTCGTAAATCCGTCGAAGCATTTTGCGTAACAGCAGCCTGAGCCTGCATATTTACATCACGATGATGTAGAGAGATCAAACTAAGAAGATATAGATGGAGGAAAAATAGGAATACTATACACTGCTGACACAATGATGTCAATTGTTCCTTCTGAATTACAATCAACAAGACCTTCCTCACAACTCAGCAAAAGAAATCCTCACATAAATTATTTCAAAATTTTACTCTACTTTTCATTTTTTAGAAGACAACAGAAAAAGAGCCAAAATAGAAAATGAAATTAGCAATTCTCTCTTTCCAATGCCACCAATCGACCAATGCTGAGGAAGGTGTGAATCAACGGATGCAACCTACAAATCAATTTCATTGAATCACTGCATGAAGGCTATGGACAACCAATGCAAGTGCATCAATCACACTGTTAAAAATGGCATTCTAAAAGATTCTTTAGAAAAACTAGAATCAAAACCAAGTCAACAGGGAAAAGAAGATAATCTCTACCAACACATCTTGAGGAACAGAAAAAGGACCAAATATAAGCAAAATATGCACCTGAGCTTTCTTTTCTTTTTCTTTTCGTAATTTCTTCAATTCTTTTGCTCTTGCCTTCTTTTTGGCATCTTTTTCAGCCTGAACAACCAAAAATGAAAGCAGATCATATTCATTCATTGTCAAGTATCAATGCATAACAAAACACTACTTGAAAGAGGCCTAAAAGATAAGGTTTTAAATGGTGAATGTGCAGGCACTGCCCCAAGAAAGTATTGGTTGTGTTCCAATTACAATAAATGACAACCATAAATATCCAAACTCTTAAACCTCAGTATGAGCTGCAGGATTATAGTTAAAATGCCCGCAATTTTGATCTTTCTCATTTTCTTCGCACTAAAAACAGAGTATTCTCAAAACCAGACCAGGTCGACCAATTGAACTGGGTTAATTGAGAAGTGGCGAATATGATTGACCCATAAGATCTGCATTATTAAATTTGCCAAAATCAGTGGCAAAATCAGAAGGTTGGACGATTTCTTTTATAATAATTTTCATGTTTGATTTTTTAGGGGTAAAATTAGAGCAAAAAATATAGGGGCAGGCTAAGTGGGGGAATTTTTGGGTTTAAATAGTCACCCCAGATATTTAAACTCCTGAATACAAATATGTTTTTTGTCCTATTTCACATGAGTTGGCCAATGCATCAAACCATCCACAGAAACCAGGTGAAGTTCTGCAAACAATTACCTGCTTAGCAGCTTGAGATTCCTCCATCTCTTTTGTCAATGCACTAGGTACCTTAGCAGCATGCCAATCCCACTTATCGGGGTTTGAGGCCATGAACCGTCTAAATGTATTTCTGACCTCCTTTTCACTTGCCAGCATGTATGGAGTCTGTCCCCTTTCATCTTTGATGCAAGGATCCAGACCCTGTTCCAATAGTTCCAACACTTTAAGAGTATCTCCAGACTGTGCTGCTTCATGCAAAGGTGTTGACGAACATATTTCCTCACCATCACTGTCACTTGATATAGGAAGTTCGATGGACTTCCCATAATTTGGGAAAGCTTCATTTTTTTCCATACAATCAGAACTGTCAACAATGTCGACTTTTTCCATTCTTGGTATGATGTTGCGGTCAATACCTGAACTATATGGTGGGTCCTCTTTGGAACTTGAAGGAGCTTCATTCACATCTACTTCGTAAGCAACTTGGGTCAATTGCTCATATATACGCCGAGCTTCCTTATAAGTAGGTCTCCGAACAGTCATTGGAACATTTTGAACAAGACAATGCTGATGACTAAAAATTGGTTTCTCTCCATTAAAAAGCAGTTGATGATTGCTTGAAGGAGCAGAAACAAAAACGCAAGATGAAGCATCAAAATATGGCTTCCAAGCAGCAAGTAGCTCATGAATTTCCTAGAATGTAAGACTTACAAATCAGTCAACTTTTACAAGATTCACTAGAATATCCATCATAAAAGAGTGGCAATCTATTTTCACGTAGGGTTGTCACCGAATCAATTAGAAATGTCACCGAATCAATTAGAGATGTCACTAAGTCAAATACCTTTTTCAAAGCAAGTTCATTATGACGTCGAAGAGAAGCACCGGCAGAATGTGCAGCCCTTCCACTTGCATCTTTCGATGACTGTTTTTTTCCAGCTTTGGCCCTTACAACATATCTGCACCACAAAATAAAGAATTCTGAATATCATAAATACAAAAAGAAAAATTATAGAGAAATGTAAATAAAAATAATAAGCCAACCTGTGGAAGGTCTTGTGAGCCACAATCAAGTTACCATCAAAAACACAACCAGCAAAATGCCCACCACTTGCAAGCAACACAATTCTAAGATGGGTCTTATCCCTGGGCTCATGAACCAACGTTTTCAATCTCTCTATCACTTCCTCACATGACAAAGTACTTTCAGGTCCAGACTCATTTGTAATTAAACACTTCGAAACAGAAACTCCCTCACCCGTCTGAAGGTAGATAAATAACTTCTGCTGCCTAATACTTGCACTTGCCCTAGATAACCTCAAAGAGCCAAATCCCTTTTCAGGCTCATCTTCCTCTGACCCCGATATACTCGAGACATCATAGTCTTTAAAAGAATCAGATGTTAATTCATCAAAGTCCTCCTCCTTCACAATACTCTTTCCAGCAACACTTAGCTTCACCTGTCATCATATATAACGAAATAATTACTACATGCCCCAAAACACGCACGCATACACATTACAGCTGAGGAATTAGTTCACTTAGTGAGTAACAAAAAGATTGAAAAAAAAATATCAATAACTCTACTCATCCCACATATCAAACAGCTGAGTAGCAATTTGAAAGTTGGACAGTAACGCTGTAAGTTCGAGCATTCCCATTTAACAAACAAAAATGTGATAAGAAATTCAAATTTTAAGCAAAAGCAATATAAGCATATCCAAAATGCTAACAAAACAATGTATCAAACCCCAAGAACTTCGCTTTTTCCTCATTTACAAATGTTCATTGCATAAACCAAAGCGAGCCTCCAACAAAAATAATAAATAAATAAATAAACAATTCGAGAATAAGAAAGTAAAATTGAACAATTAATTTACGTTGAATCGGTGAATATCGGACTTGAAGTGCGCGCGCTGGTCTTCGAGGGAATCGAACTCGGCTTTGCAAGTGTTGCAGGTCCACCGAGGTGCTCCGACGGCGTTTTGGGAGCGGTTTTCTTCATTGCGCTCAGGCTCGGAGTCGTCTAGGGTTTCAACGGCGGAATTGTAGGTAGAGGTCTCGGAGGTTGAAACAGTAGAGAGGCTGGAAGATTGAAGGAGCTCGCAGGAGTCGAAGAAGTTGGCGGGGACGTCGAAGATGGAACGGGGTCGTTTCACTTGTGTTTTGGCCGTCGCGTGAGTTGCTGTGGTTGTGGCGGTGCGAGGAGGCTCGGCCGCCATCGTAGCAGATTGGGTTGCGGCTCCCTTGTTTACGGTTATCTATTGTTTGTATGTGAAGTGTGAACGTATCATTCGAGACGGCACCGCTTTGACTTCAACCTTGGCGATTTTTTTCTGCAACTGATGTTGTCACTAAAAAGAGAAAATGTAACCGATCAATCAAATTAGGCTTATTTAATGTTTCAGTCCTGAAACACGAACACTCAGTCTCACATTATCCCTTTAAACTGAATTTTTTTCAAATAACCCCCAGAATCTCTAAAAATTGTTGAAAATTTCTCACTTTACCACTTCCGTCCATTTCCATCCATAAAACCATTAAAGGTGCCGATGTGGTATAGCCATTATAATAATTTTAGCTATCTTATCTCTTCTATATGCCTCTCTCTCTCTCTCTCTCTCTCACCTCACTCCCTCTACCTCTCTCTTCTCTCACACCCCACCCCACCCAGTGGTGGTGGTTTGGGTGTGTTGAGTAATTCCATGGAGGGTTAGGTCTGGGGTGGGGGTTGGGTTTGGCGAGTGGAGGGGAGAGAAGAGATAGGCAGAAAGACAGAGGGAGAGAGAGAGAAGAGAGAAGATAATAAGGAGCTAAAATTACTATAATGTCCATGTCACGTCATCACATTTAACGGTTTTGTAGGTGAAAATGGACGAAAGTAGTAAAGTGGGAAAATTTCATCAATTTTTAGAGATTCATTGGGTTAAATGAGAAAATTTCAGTTTGAGGGGGTAAAGTGAGACCAAGTGTCTGTTCCAGGGGTGAAACAGTAAATAAGCCATCAAATTATTTAGGGATTTTTGTAGAAATGTCACATGAACTTATACCTCAGTTTTAATTTGTTACCTTAAAGAAAAATTTAAGAGAAATGTCACCTTAAATATTCAAAATCCATGATTTGTCATCTCACTTTAACACCATCCAATTTTCCGTCCATTTTAAAGGATATTTTAGTCTTTCCATTTTCAAGGGTATTTTAAAAATAGAAAAATCATTTTTAAAAAAATCTCACTGGCCCTCAACCCACCCAAATCGAATCCACCTTTTTCTTCTTTTTTATTTTTGGTATTTTTCCATTTGCATATTGAAAATTTGTAGAGAGAGAGGTAGGGACGGGGAGGGAGGGGGTCTCATGTGCAATGTGTTTTGGAGGCAGGTTGGGTTAGGGTGTGGGAGAAAGGGAGAGAAATGTCTCTTTTTTCTCTCGTTTTTTTTCCCTTGAAAATAGAAAAACTAAAATACCCTTAAAATGGATGTTAAAGTCAGATGGCAAATCATAGATTTTGAAAAATTAAGGTGATATTTCTCTTAAATTTTTCTTTAAAGTGACAAATTGAAACTGAGGTATAAATTTAGGTGACATTTCTACAAAAATCCCAATTATTTATGTACGGATGGGTGAAAAAGTTACCGACGTAGTTCAATTGGTAAGAGTGTTTACTCGTCCAGGTCTAGGTTCATTTCTACATCCTCCAATACGACTTGTGTACAAAAAAAAATGTAGTTTGAATTGAATTGGATCATATCTTAACTTGTTATTAGATTTGGTTCAGTCTAATTGAAAATTGTCAAAATTGAATCAAACCGTCTAAGTAAATGTTCTTAACACTTGATCATTTTTGTCAACGGTGTCTAACCCAGTGGAAAAGAGCATTGACTTCTACGCAAGAGGTCTCAGGTTCAAACGCCCATGATATCATTTGACATCATTTGTGTGTGTGAGAGAAATCTCCCTCCCCTTTAGTTTAAATTATCGCTTGTACTTAAAATATATACTTGATCATTTCTTATTAATTATCACCATTTACTATTATATTTTTTATCCCTTACATTTAGATTTTCTCACTAGATTGTTAGTTTGTCGTTTTAAATGGAATATTGAATGTCGTTGGAATGTTATAGCTTTCGAAATTAGAATGGTGATTTCAATTATGGTTTGGTTCCTAGACCTAGAGGAGAAAATATAAGGACTTCATGGGATTCCCATGCCTACTCTTGGTTTTGTGCGGAGAGCTTTTCCTATTGACCTTTGTGTGGTTGGTTATCTTTTTTCCATTTATTTTCATTAGAGACTGTAGAGGCTCTTTAAATCAGAAATGAGGCGTTATGGTTTTTGGGGTATAATGCAAGGAGGAGGATGTCAAGAAGAAGGCCCTACCTATTGGTGGGCCTCTCTTGGCCCATGATTGGCGGTGATTATGTTGTCCTTGGTCTACTTGCTTTCTTTCTTCTTCTTTTAGGTCATATGGTCTCCTTGGTTTCAAATTCAATGTTTGATTTTTGAATTTGCTGGAACCCTCTGTTAGGCTGCTTTCAATTTCAAATATATAAAGAAGTGAAAGTACAGAAAATGTAGTGTTTGGAGTAAGTAACAATAAGGAGTTCTAACTACTCTAATGAACGGGAAAGAGAATCGAATTTGAGCGAGCTCGACAGTATACGAGTGAGTTGGTCCAATTAATCTAGTCCACATATTTATTCAATTATTTGACCCATTTATTCACCCTACTTTTCCATGGCATAAGTTTTAAAGAAAACAGCCTGACCTATTCTATGACACTTCAGCTAAGCCTCATGCACTTCAAAGTTCAAATTTTGGTACCAAAAACAGATTTCTTATTTTATTTTGGTAAAAACCAAAGACAGTTCTTCAGGTTTGGAAGGAACGAACAAATACTTGGCCGAAAAATTAAATAAGTGAACGAATTTTACTGTAAATAAAGCGGTCTCTACAAATTTCGAAAAGTACATTAAATTAAGTAATATACAGTGCCACGAGCACTATGGACGCATGTTGGCTTCCACTGTCAGATCCACCAATCCATGCGCTTGGATTTTACAATCGTGAACATATTAATAATAATAGACGCGACACACACGATTACTTCTCCCAGCACAGCTGCTCAAATCCGCAGATACCCATAAATTAAAAATATCAATAAATAAAAACAAAATTAACAAATAAAAAGCCTCTATGGTAATATACAGTGCCACGAGCACTATGGACGCATGTTGGCTTCCACTGTCAGATCCACCAATCCATGCGCTTGGATTTTACAATCGTGAACATATTAATAATAATAGACGCGACACACACGATTACTTCTCCCAGCACAGCTGCTCAAATCCGCAGATACCCATAAATTAAAAATATCAATAAATAAAAACAAAATTAACAAATAAAAAGCCTCTATGGTAATATACAGTGCCACGAGCACTATGGACGCATGTTGGCTTCCACTGTCAGATCCACCAATCCATGCGCTTGGATTTTACAATCGTGAACATATTAATAATAATAGACGCGACACACACGATTACTTCTCCCAGCACAGCTGCTCAAATCCGCAGATACCCATAAATTAAAAATATCAATAAATAAAAACAAAATTAACAAATAAAAAGCCTCTATGGTAATATACAGTGCCACGAGCACTATGGACGCATGTTGGCTTCCACTGTCAGATCCACCAATCCATGCGCTTGGATTTTACAATCGTGAACATATTAATAATAATAGACGCGACACACACGATTACTTCTCCCAGCACAGCTGCTCAAATCCGCAGATACCCATAAATTAAAAATATCAATAAATAAAAACAAAATTAACAAATAAAAAGCCTCTATGGTCTCTAACCGGTAACAACGGAGTAAAATAATAACAATAAAACCTCAAACCACTACAAAGTAACAAAATAATTAAGTAAAAAAAAAAAAAAAGATAAAACAAAATAAATTAACAGACGCGTGAAATTACCGTTCAGGACAAGACAACGGAGGAAATAACAGTGGCACAGACAGTGACCAGTACAGTCATCAGCAATGCAGGTGAGGCCACGTGACCAGCTCCGTTACCCGAGGTACTGTTCTCCGACTCAGCAGACGGAGCCTCAGACGGCGCTCCCTCCGGCGTCTCCGATGGCGGTGCCGGCGGTGAAGCGGTCAAAGGCGATGGCCCTTCAACGGAAGCGGGACTCGGAGCGAGTACCGGCGCCGGCGAAGGGGCTGCGGATGGCACTAGCCCCGGCGCCGGTGACGGAGATTTTCCGAACAGCTCCAGTGGAAGAAGCACATTGTCGATGGTGAAGATCGCGAGGGGAGTCGCGTCGAGAACCGTGTCGGCCACTCGGGAGGAGTCGACTCCGGTGTGAAGCGTGACCTGGTCGCCGGCTGTCGTCGTGGTCAGATCGAACTTCCCGGCTCCGTTCGTCGCCAGAGTGCTAATCGGAGACTTGGAGGTCTTCAAAGTGCCGATCGGAGTGTAACCAGCAACGGCATGAAACTGTAAGATGGAGACCACCTCCGCATTGGTGAGCTTGCTCAGATCCGGCACGCCCTTCGCCTTAAACGCCTCGTCGTTGGGAGCGAAGATCGTCAAGCCTTTCTCCGCCGCCGATTGGTACGTCTTGATGACGCCGCTCGATATGATCAGTGACGCGAAAGTCTTGGCCCCGGCTTTCTCGAGCAGCGCCGTTATGTTGACGTCGGAGGCAGAAGGAGCCGGCGCCGTCAAGATCCCGGGAGCGATGATCGGAGCGTTGATTTCCAAAATTGAGATGTTGTACGGAATCTGCTTGACGGATTTGGTGTAGCTGGAGTCGAGCTTGGAGCCGGGAGCCGCGGAGCCGAAGCCAACCTTGCCGCCTTGGAGGTCGGTGATGTTGACGAAGCCGAGATTTCCCGGGGCGTTGCCGGTGGTCTGGTAGAGGGTGGTGGAGAGGGTGGAGCCCTTGGAGATTTGGTGGAGCTTCGTGGGGTCGTAGTAGTCGAGGAGGACGTGTAGGCTGAGGGCGTTCTTGACGACGGAGAGGGGATGTTTGGCTGCGAGGGCGGAGATGGCGGCATTGTTCAGGACAAGGATAGTGATTGTTTGGCGGGTGTTGATCTCGTCAGCTAGCCTTGTTTGGGTCAAGAAGCTGTTGTATTGGCTGTAGTCTGGGAAGGCGGAGAGAATTTCAGTGATGTTGTGGGCTGATGAGATTGTGGCGGTGAGGGCCAAGAGAGAGAGGAGGAAGAGAGCTCTGCTCAGTGAGGCCATTTTTGGTTTGAGTGAGTGAGTGAGAGATGAGAGTTTTATGAGTTAAAAGAGATGGGTTTTGGGGAGTTAACTACGGTTAAGGAAGGGGGGTTTTGGTTGGGTTTAACTGTGGTTTGGTTTAGGAAGGGCCATGTGGAGGGAGGCAAAGTGCTTTTCTCCACAGCTGGAAATGGAAAGCATGGGTTTTGTGTTATGTGGCAGAGATGGGTTGCTTGGTGCTTCTTATATTCTGTTTCTTTTGGATGAAATGACTTGAATGTCCTTATCCTCTTGGTGGGTTTTCCGTTGAGATAAGGATGATTTGTGATTATGTTGTGGGCTTGTAGCAACAAAAGGTTAAAGTTAACGAAGTGGACGTGATTATTATGGGAAATGAAATGATGGGTGGAAATGGGTTCCTGGTTAACGGCTCTAAACCCCAGGTGACAAGTTGAGAAACCTTGAGTTTGGTCTCCTAGGTTGGGAGGGTTGGGGTACTTCAACCAAAGGTCAATGCACATGCTTTAGTTCGTGTTACTTTGCAGCCTGTATTGGGGATTTTCTTATGATTACGACGTGAGTGATTGTAAACTGTTGACATAATCGAGTTACTTGTGTCATAAATGCATCAATCGCATAAATAATATGAATTTCGTGCACCACAATACGTCAATGACCTGTAATCAATTACGCGCAACTATCTTTAGCATTTCATTTTTCTTGCTAGTGTCGTACTAGTAAAAAAAGGATGGTCCATATGCATGTTAGTGTGTTTGGTACCAACAATGCGTTGTCTTATCCTCGTTGCCATCCATATTCCATATAAGTAAATTGCGTAATGCCAGTCCTCCATGTATGTATATAATGATTGTTCAAAGGCAAAGCATATTGTTTTGGAACCAAAGCTTTCAGGGGTGCCCTAAATTATTAGGAAAGATTTGAGTCAGTGGCTAACCATAAACCCCCACCCATTTTTGATCCCCTTTACGTTTTGGTTCTGACTTGTGAGGCTGTCCTCCAAAACACAGCTGTAACTGCTTTCCAAATGGAAATCTTCAAATAAATGCAAGGCATTATATACTACCAACTTTTTTTATATAAAAAAATTGTTATTTATTTATCAATATACAACCAACTTTAATTGTGAGCAACAACAAAAAAAGGTCCCTTGAAGAAACCCTACAATTAAGAAGTGAATTTCTTTTTCCTTGAAACGTTTGGGTTCAAGACAAATATGTTGTGTTGAATACGGGAAAGAAGAAAGGTAAAAGTGGAATACATTGTACAAAGTTTTGCCAAGCATTAGGTCTCCTTCGATTGGAAGCAAGAGCATGACTTTCTTCTAGCAAATGAGACATCTAGTTCCTTTTCATTTTCATTTATTTTATTTTTTCCTTTTTCATATATACCTTGACAAAGTCAGAACACCACGACATGATGAGATAATAACACGTAAAAACAAGAATTTTTAACCATATCATGACCTTCATACATATTGTCATACAATCAGGGTATTCTCGCATTTGGTAATGCTTAATGCCAGCAAGTTTTCTCCCAACACTTTTCTTCATTATTTTTGTAATAATGATAAAAGAAGGTTGAATCCAATTTGTTATAGAATATTCCTCATTTTATTTGATACTTGAACTGTACACTACATCGTTAAATTTAAAATATATATTATTGAACCAAATGTGAAAATGTAATGATGCAATATCAAAGATTGTGAATGAGAGTTTGGACAAATAGCAAATTTCCAATCACTGATTATGGCATTATATAATATGAATAAGATGTAAAACCCAGAGAGAAAATTGAGAAGAGAAAAACCGCTAAAAGACGTTAATGAGAAAGCATGCGAATTTCTTTGTGTACAATTTTCGATTAGACAAGTTGTCTCAATCAAAAGCATAAACAATAATGCGACAAGATCATATATTTTCTTCTTATCATTCTTCTTCTAGGTTTTGACTTCCATATAACAAAGTTATTTAGTATTCTGCAAAAAAAATCTTGGCATTGTTTTCATATGCTTTGTTAAATTAAATAATTTTCGAAACACAGAGAGCAAAAGGATGACAATTTAGTGCTACAAAATTACAAATAAAATCTCTATATATTCAATTTTGGACTTTAGAGTTGGGGGCCCACTATAGTTGTTGTTATGCAGGGGATATTGTCGGCAACAATTGTAGCAACCACATGCAAAAAAGCAACAAAAATAAACAAATAAATTAAAATTAAAATAAATAAATGGTCTTTGGCTGCCATGTGACTCTGTGCCCCTCCATTAACAAATGGAGCACATATATGGCCCTCTAGTTGTTGTTGGCCTCTAGTAATTTGTGGTGAACAATCAATGGCCAAATACTGAAATGGAATTTTGGCAATTAGGTTAAAAACTTAGAACAACGATAAAGAAGATGTGTCGCTTCCAAATGGAGGGCTACTACTTGATGCTGTGCTCTGCAACCATGTAAATTCGAATATCCTATAGATTTGTAAGTTATATATGGTCCATATGGAATTTGTACATTGCATTTATATTTATCAAGTTCGAATCTGCGACAACTAATATGCAAATTAAGGTTATATTTCACTAGATTAGAAGATATCAAATTTTAAACATATAAAATACTTTAGCTTGACTATTTATTTATTTAAATATTTAGTTTATTTTATACTTTTAGAATTTTAACCACTAGAAGGATCAGAATGGATTTGGGCAACGAGGCCATAATTGTTCAATCACATATTCATTTATTTGGCTTTTGGGCAGTAGTGTTCTTTTTTCTTTTTTCGTTTCATTGTGATTGTTTCATGCGCGAATCTTTTTAATATCCAGCTCTTGTTTGTTCTTGGTTGTCAGTGTCACAATGGATTTTGGATGTTTTCATCCTCTCCACTATATAATCTTATAGTGTTTTAATATAGCATCTATTCTAATAAATAAAAAAAGGAATGGATTTGAGCAATGCTCGTGGAATCTTGAGGAGGTTTGAGAAGTGTGCTTTGAATGACATGATATCATAGAGTATTAAACGTGAAAGTACTAAATTCTTTATACGGGTAATAACTCTGGAAAAGTAAAAAATTAAACGGGGATAATAGAGACTTGGGTAATGGCCTAACAATAATGGATAATGTTATAAACTACTCTTATCGATAAATGAAAATCAGGGGAAAAATTTAAAAGAAAGAAAGGATCCTAGTATATATATAGTATAGCCGAACGGCTATACTATTTATTAAAGGAAATTAAAACAAAAGAAAAACCAAGTGGCTATACTATTTTTAAAAAAAGAAATTTAAAAATCGAGTATAGCCGTGCGGTTATACGCTTTATTTAAAAAAGGATTATTCGCAGCAATGGTCCCTCAACTATACCCCAAGTTACACTTTGGTCACTCAATTCAAATATTAGTTGTAGAGGTCACTCAATTAGGTGTTTTGTTGCACTGTTAGTCATACCGTCAAGTCTCTCTAACAGTAGGGACTAATGGCGCAACACAACACCTAATTGAGTGACCAAAATGTAACTCTGAGTATAGTTGAGGGATCATTGCTACAAATAATCTTAACTGAAATATCACATTTGCCCATCAATAATCTAAGAGATGCTTGCCACATCATCATTTTAAATAGAAAAAGTAACAGACTTGACAGTAGGACTAATGATACAACAAAACACCTAATTGAGTGACATCTGCAACTAATATTTGAGTTGAGTGACATCTGCAACTAATATTTGAGTTGAGTGACCAAAGTGTAACTTGGGGTATAGTTGAGGGACCATTGCTGCGAATAACCCTTTTTTAAATAAAGCGTATAACCGCACGGCTATACTCGATTTTTAAATTTCTTTTTTTAAAAATAGTATAGCCACTTAAAAAAAGCAAAGCTGCCGCACAGCCCTTAGGTGCCATGTGTCAAAATTCAGCTATACTATTTTTATAAAAAAAATTAAACACATCGAGTATAGCCGTGCGACGGTACTATTTTTTACAAAAAAAAACCCTAGCAATGTGTCAAAAATAATACAGCCGTATGGATATATTTTTTTTAAAAGGAAAATCGTAGTCTAGCCACACGACGATACTATTTAAATACATTATATTGAAGATATTGATTTTCCCACTCTCTTTTTATCCACTTACATACAATTTTTTTTAAAAAATTGTATGTTTTCACTCATCTATTGTTCACTTACACTCCCTTTAATCTTATAGTAAAAAGTACTAAAAACTAAAAGGGAGTGGGAAAATCACCACTCTATATTTAAAGTGGTGACATGTGTCAAAAATAGTATAGCCTTGCGGCTATACCATTTGTATACATTCTACTAAAAGTAGTTATTAGGTGCCACGTGTAAAAATAGTAGGGCTGTGTGGCTATATCCTTTTTAAAAAAAATTAAAAACATCGAGTATAGCCTTGCGGCTGTACTAGTTTTTATAAAAACAAAGGAACCCTTAGCGATTAGTTGCCACGTGTCAAAATATTTAAATAGATTAAATTGAAAGTAGTGATTTGATGCCACGTGACAAAAATATTATGGCCGCACGGCGGTACTATTTTTAAAAACAATTAGTAGTACAGCCGGACGGCTATACTATTTAATCAATAAAAAATAAAGCAAAAAGCACCCTCGTTATTGCATTAGTTTATACTTTAGAGATATTAATTTACTAGTTTCAATATATCCAAAGTAGATATTAATCGGCCATTGTATAATATTTTAATATGTATTATTTTTATTCAATAATATGTGAGAATTATTTATATAATACGTGAATTTTGTGTGTCTTATTGAAAATTTTGTAAAAAAATATGTGTATTAAACATGAGAAATACATACGTAGATGTACAACATGAGTATTGTACGTTTGCTTTTTAAAAAAAACATGAATTTAACCAAGTCTCTAAGATATGTACAGAACACGGATGTATGTGTATCATAGAGTATTAAACATGAAAGTGTTAAATTATTTATACTGGTAATAACTCTGGAAAAGTAAAAAATTAAACGAGGACAATAGAGACTCGGGTAATGGCCTAATAGTAATGGATAATGTTATAAACTACTCTTATTGATAAATGAAAATCGGGGAAAAAATTAAAAGAAAGAAAGGATCTATATATATAGTATAGCCAGCTATACTATTTATTAAAGGAAATTAAAACAAAAGAAAAACCGAGTAAAGCCAAGTGGCGATACTAATTTTAAAAAAAGAAATTAAAATATCGAGTGTACTCTTTATTTAAAAAAAGCAGAGCTGCCGTACAGCGCCCAGGTGCCATGTGTCAAAATAAGTATAGCCGTGCGGCTGTACTATTTTTAAAAAAACCCCCAAGCGATTTAGGTGCCACATGTCAAAAATAATATAGCCGTACGGCTATATTTGTTTTAAAAGGAAAATCTTAGTATAGCCGCACGGCTATAATATTGAAATACATTATATTTGTTGACCCGTTAGATCAATATGGACGGTTTGAGATCAAATTTCTGAGTAAGTTACAATCTAGTAACTGTTTACCCAAACCCGAAAGAAAGAACCCGGCACATGTTTGAAAATATCTGGAAAATGTTGTGGTCTTGTTGGAAAATATAGAAAATGTGGGGTCAAAACAAAAACTTTACAAAATTGATTTGTAAAGACCCAGCCTCTTCATCCCGACAGAGGCGAGGTTTTTCCACCGCAGTGGTTTCGGCGGTTCCATAAGGAAGAAGAAGAAGAAAGAAGAGGCTTAAAGAAATTCTCAAATTCTGTTCTACATGCGCTCCCAGTTTGGTAATGAAAAACAACTTCTTCTTTTTTTGTGGTAATTTTATCATAAAATGAGTTTTACTTTTTCAATTTTCATGGGGTTTCTTATTTACTTCTTGGCAATAAAAAGATCGTGATATTTGAACATGTTTTTTTTTTTTGTCCAGTGGTTTAGGATTTTGGGATGAGAATCAGTAAAACAGAGGTGAACTTGAGGAGGCTGCTTGCAGCTGCTCCTCAGCAACAAAACCAGGCAAAACTTGGACATGTATGTATGATCCTTGTCTTCTCGCTCACCTCTGATATGGATATTGTTATTAGAATTACAGGTTATATGCTTTTATTCATTTTCATACAATTGATCTGTGTTCTAGCTTTCCTTTTTCTTTTGGGTGTTTTTGGGATATATAGCCTTTATGGATGATATAAGTACTGGAATTTTGCAGTATGTTGCTACTTTACGAGAACAGGTAGAACAACTAGCTGAGGAGAGAACTCCAGAAGGCTTACCAAGGTTGGTATTTGTTTTAATTTTCCCCCTTGATTTACTTTAACTTTGATTTTTTCAATAAATTGATCCATGTTCCAATATGCTTCCTTTCTTCTACTTTACAAATCAATCCAAGGGTTTTGGTAGGCATGATATGATGGAAATATTGATTAACATTCTAATCACTGTGTTTAGAGTGAATATTTTTATATACTCATATTAAGTTCTAGAGACATTTTCTCACATCATTAGCACACTTTCGTTGTTTTAGGGATTTTGGATGGAAAGAGTTTTATCCAAATGATGATTTGAGTTATTATTTATATGTATTTTCTTGATACTCTGTCTTAAGAGCTTGTAAATTTCTTAATTTACTAATTGGAATGATTATTTATGGTTCTATGTTCAGGGTTTCAAAGGCTGTTTTGAGCGACTATTCAGAGAAGATCGAAGCAATTGCTTCCAAATTAGCTGCTCTGCCGGTGCGTACATATGATCTAGAAAGCATACATGTCACTTTTGTTGAATTGTTGATTTTATGTCTTAACCAGTTCACTTGGCAAATGTTCTTTAGATCTAGGGTTTTCTGAATTTTTTTAGTGTTATGTATCATTTATAATTAATTTACTGATAATAGGTTTAGTATGAAGGTCTGGAAATTATAACGACTGAGAAAGAAAAATATTGTTAGGCTGATCCAAATTGGTATTTCATGCTTAACAAAATACTGAGAATTTATGCTTAACATGTAATTGGTTGTATCAGTTTATGTCATCATATCTAAAGAGAATCTTTAACATATCGATTGTGTTCTTTAGCTAGATTTCTGACATGTTATATGTGAATCTGGCACCATATATGAAAGCAGGAATCCACCTGATCAATGGTCCAGATTAACAGTCTGGCAAGAGAATATTTCTGTACAATATATATGTATATGTATTCAATTTATGGAGTAAATTGCTCCTAACTATGTTTTCTTTGGCAAACTCCCAGCCCGATATTCAAGCACCCAAGGAGCCCCTTGCAAGAATTTCTGTCAAAGCAAACTCTTCTGATACAGGAGACAATCAGATTCCCCCTTCTCCAGGTCTGAGAAGGAGATTTGGGTAAGTGAACAGTAGTTAGGATCATGGTTTCGTTTAGCTCCTTAGTGATCTTTTGTATGCTATCTCATGATTTTAACTGGTTTTTTTTGTTAAATAGGCTTACCTCAAATTCCGAAGATGGAACTCATGAGATTCTTAGTGTTGATTCTTCAGCGCCTGTCAAACTGGATGCTGCAGCCCAAGCACACATTGAAAAACATAGGTGTTTTGTCGTATTAACTTTCATACTTTCTCAAGTTCTCCTATTAAACTGGAGTAACTAGACTCTGGATGAAATTGAAACCAGATAACTCACCAGAGCAGAGACTATCTTTACTTTTAAAACTTCAGATGTTGATTATATTTGCTTTCCACATTCTGTTTAAGATTCTTATAAATTTTTCTCTCATGGGACAGAAAGCTTCAAGAGGATTTGACCGATGAAATGGTTGGATTGGCAAGGCAACTCAAAGAGAGTAGTCTCATGATGAATCACTCGCTGCAAGACGCTGAAAAAGTAAGATCTTTATAATCTCAACACTACTTATATTTAGCTGGCTGTGGTTTGATTTGTGTTTAGGGGTGACACTGACCAGGGTGAAGTCTTTTTGAAGGGAAGATAAGGTGAAAGAATGTTTTGGATTTTAGGTGCGAGAATCAGGAGAAATGCTTGGAAAGGGAAATGTGAAACAAAGAAACCAAGGTTGGGGTTGTAAAGAGTCCCTGAGATTCTTAGGCTAAAACCAATAGATTTGCAGAGGAGTTTAGGCTGTAATAGGAGAGTAAATATAGTTTTTTTGTTTAGAAAGAGTTTAAAGTAAAGGGGTTTGGGGAGGTCTGCAAGATGATATTTGGTCTGAGTTTTCCATGTTCGGATAATTAAAAGAAAGGAAGAAGTTGAAGAATAAGAGAAAACCTAAGAGAAAACATTGATCATCAGACATATCAAAATTTAGGAAAAATGTCCAAAGGAATAATGTAACATCTTGTGTTACTTCAAAAATTGATTGTTGTGATAAAAGCTTACTCTCTGGTGTGCCTTTGATGTAAATTCATAGCTGATGGAATGTCATATCTGTCGATCTCATAACTTAAGGTATGGCTTATGTGCAGATACTTGATTCTACAGAGAAGGCTGTTGAAAGTAGCTTGGCAAGCACTGGCCATGCCAATACAAGGGCGACCAATATATACTCGAAGACGTCCAAAACTACGTGTTTCACATGGCTTGTAATGTTTGTAATGACATGTGTATTCATCATGGTTGTACTTTTAATTCGTGTCACTTAAGGGTATGTTGTTGAGTTAGGAAAATTCATCTTTCCTTTTCCTCGCACGATTGCTATGTATATATAATTTGCTGTGTTGAGCAATGACATAGTTTACAATTTGATATCATGCAGTGTTGAGCTTTGAGGCTACTATTACGAATTTGGGCTTTTTTTGGTCTTAGACTAGCCTTATATCCCAGCCCAGGCCAACCCAATCCAACCCAACCCAACCCAACATACACGCGGCCCCACCTAACAGAAAACCGGATGACGTGTCGACCTGCGGGGCTTCCACTACTGCCAAACAAGCAGTCGTCCTGGCTCGCGCGTGGAGCAAGTCTCCAGCAAAGCACGAAGCATCCCACCCATTGGAGCGTGAGACATACGCGCCACGGTTTAAAGAACCCAAGAAAGGAAGCGAAGTTGGTCTGAAAACTTTTGCCTGCGGACACTGAAAAAGGCTGAAACAGAGACGCAGGGATTGTCAGCCTCTCTCTCTCTCTCTCTCTCACGCCCAACTTTAAACAAAAGCCAAAACAAAGCAAAGCAAAGCAGATATGGCTTCATTTCGCTTAGACACATTGCAATACACCCAGACCCAGTTCATCAATTCAGTCATATGCCTCTTGTGCAGCTTTGCTTTTCTTGTTTTTGCCTTAAATATTGAGACTTGATAGTCAAATTGAATTGGGTTTTCTCTCTGCACCTCTGTTGAAGCAACAGTTTGATGTGCTTGTGATGACAATGGAGGAGGAGGGTGGTGGTAAGGTGAAGCTTGGTCTTGGGATTGGGGTTGATTGTTATGGTGATGATCGTAATGGGACTGAAGAAGTTGTTGTTGGTAAGAAGAAGAAGAAGTATGGTGGTGGTGGGTTGACAGCTTCTCAGTTGCATGAGCTGGAGCAACAAGCGCTTATCTACAAGCACTTCGCTGCTAACCTTCCTGTTCCTTTTCACCTTGTGCTTCCCATTTGGAAGAGTGTGGCTGCCTCTTTTGGCTCCTCAAATGCTGCTGCTATCTACAGACAATACCCCAGTTGTAAGTCAAATCTCTTTCCCTTAATGGGTTTCAATTTTTACACAAACTGACACACAAGCAAGCAACACAAAAAATTGTTATTTTGGAGTAACAACTAAATGCATGCTTATGGGGTAGTTATAAGGAAAGGGGGGGGGGGGAGAGACTTTTTAAGACATTTTAACTTGACATGGGTTTATGAGGACTACATGGATTTGACTTTGTTTGATTGGGTTCTTAAAAGGGGTCCTATTTTGCTTCAAATTTAGATAGGCCAAGGTTTACTTGACCTGAGATTTTCATGGGATTGAGTTAGTCAAGACATCGTGTTTGTTTCTGTTAATTTTACTGCAACATGTTGTGTTTTTCCCCTTACAGATGTTTCTGTCTGTGTATTAGGATTCAAATTTGAGATATGCTTTGAGTAAATTAGTTTTTTTTTTTATCGCTTAATCCCCTGAATTTAGAGTTTTGTTCATTGAGATAGTTTCATGAAATTGAACTTGAATGTAATAGATTAATGTTCTCTAAATGATTGTTTCTGTGGACTTATGGTTAGATAAATTGACTTTTTGAAGGATATTTCTTTGTTGATTGCTTTTCTTTTGCATGATATTTGAAATGGGTCCCCTGCTTATTCAGTTGAATTTGATACTGTTTATTTCAATTGATTGTTTCAGTTGTAGGGTTCAGTGCACTGGGCTTTGACTATAGGGATCATGAACCAGGAAGGTGCAGAAGAACTGATGGAAAGAAATGGAGGTGCAATAAGAATGTAGTTCCTGATCAGAAATACTGTCAGCAACACATGCACAGAGGCCGCCAGCGTTCAAGAAAGCCTGTGGAAAATTCTGAAGTTGCTTCTCCTTCCAGCACTAAAACACCCAAGAATTCAGAAGGTGAGTTTCAGATTTCAACCCCGAAAGGCCTTCAACTTATGGCTCAATCCTACAATTATGTTAGTGTTAGCCAAGGTACAACCATGGCCTCAAGTGGCTATCATGAATGTAAGAAAAACATAAGACCTGTTACAACTACATCCATTGCCAATATACCTGCCAACAGATCTGCTACTACCACCCCTGCTGCTGTAGCCGCTACCACCATTGCCGGACCAACCACCGCCACCAACAGCAGTACCAATGAAAATAGCCTCAATATTGGTGTAAAATACAATAGTAGCAACCATGCTGGTGGCAATTGCATGATCAGAGGAAGCAGCATGAATGTTGTTAATATATCACCAGGATTGGGCTTCTCCCCGAAGAGCGTTCTCCAAGGTAGACGCATGAGTAAGATTGAACCTTTGTGTTATAAAATGTTTTTTTCTCCCAAAATATATATGGATTGATAAGCATAACCACTGGTCTTGAAAAGCTTTCCACACAAAAGAATGTTGAACATGTGTTGATTCGTGGTACCAAGCTATCTGACTTCTTACCTATGAATTCGACGACTGGGGCCTTAACAAGAGAGGCCAACAGTGCCCCAAAGTTGGAATCATATAGGATAAGAATGTTGTATAAAAAAAAATTAAAGGATAAAAATGGGTTGAAGTACTGGAAATTCTTCTGTAGCTTGTCTTTGCAATCAAATGGATCATTTGTGTATTTATTTCAGTTGCCACTGTTTTCAGCTCTTCTAGGTTGCAATGGCTTATACTTCGACAATGGAAGTGGAGTAGAACTTGAACCAGGGAGGTGTAGGAGAACGGATGGAAAGAAGTGGCGGTGCAGAAGGGATGTTCTTCCTGATCAGAAGTATTGTGGCCAGCATATCCACAGAGGGGCAAAGAGGCAAATGAAAGACTTCCAACCTGTTGCTGTTCCTTCTTCTTCAGCTGCTGCCATGAATACCGCTCGGCTCTCTCAGACAACAGCCATATGCAGAAAAATTAATTGTGCAATCCCTAATACAAATCTCAGCATCTCCATCCCAGCAAATCCCCCACCGGGACGAAATGATGAAAGAAGCAATTCTAGCAGCGATAGTGACACGACTCTTACAGATACCAGCCTTACTGCTTGTGACAGTAGTTATGTTTCTTCTTAGAAGACTACCCTTTCCAGCATTTTGAGGTATCCAAAATTGTGAATTTTGTGGTTTTTCCTGCAACCAGCATCCTCATGGAAATATATCAACAGAAAAGGAAAAGGAAGGCCGCTTGTTTTGTGAGGAAATACCAACATCCTCTGTTCTTGCTTTACGTAGGGGATAAGAAATGCGTTTTGTTTTGGGAAATTTTCAGATTTCACGTTATGGGATGTCTTTTCATCTCAGTAGAAAGAAGAAAGAAATTGTATTTCTTGTTAGTTTTCGGAGACCTCAACTGGGGTTTGATTTGCTCCTGAAGGCATGTAGGTCAACCCACCCTTTTTAAATCTTGTACAATGTAAACATGGATGCCAAATCAATGTTGTATCTTGATATTTCTTGACTTCCATTAGCATAGTTCTTCAAAAATAGCTATACATGTTTAAATGTTTTTCAAGTGCCATTGAAACATCAAACCCCATTTTCCAAACTATTCAACATAAAAAGTGGTCATCTTTAATTACGAAACATTTTTCTCTTCTCAATTTCCCTTAACATTAACAGACTTTTCCAAGAAAGTTAATGTATATAGTAGGCTACTTGCTAGCTTGCATATCTTGCTTAAGCGTTTATTTATTAATTCAACAACTTATGCAATCTAAATTTTACACAAACCAAATTATACAATCATAATTTTTTTTTAAAAGCTTATTGTTTACTGGCTACAATGAGAACTGAGAAGAAATTAAGCGTACTCAGCAAGCAACTGATGTAATTATAGGCAATCCAGAAGTTGACGAGCTACAGGATTTCCTTAACACAACATGGTACATGAAACTCAAGGCTGCTGAACATAGTAGATAAGTTAATTGTCTCTTGGTGCTGATGAGATTTTGACCAAAACATTCCCTCTAAATATACCAAACTCAGCTATGCCAGCTCCCCACAGCCATGGTTAGAGCATGATGACAGTTAGAAAAGCTAGCTATTTGCAGATACCCGTTGGATCGGCGTTCTTGACTATCCAAGGGTGTTCCATGATCCTCTGAAGAGAGAGCCTCTTTGAGGAGTCTTTGACAAGAAGCTGCGCAAAGTTCAACTTATTTCAATTAGGTAATGGATACTGATACCAACAACTACTGGAGTTTTATTTACACCCACCTAATATTAAGAACAAAATCATGGACACTTACCCGGGTAATGAGATGTTTAGCTTCTGCAGAAGCTTGAGGTTCAGAAGGGAAGCTTAGGTCAACCTTTATTATCCTGTATAGAAACTCAAGTTATTATTCACTTAGGTTCAGTTCATGTTACGGAATCACATGGGTGGAAGCATACAAAACACTCATTCATACCTTCTGAATGTATCCGTTTGACTTTCTGCCTCAAAGGGAGGAACACCATAGAGGAACTCGTAGCAAAGAATGCCCAAAGTCCAGTTGTCAACTGCATAATCATGAGGTCTGTTCTCCACCATTTCTGGTGCTAAATAATCTAAAGTTCCACACATGGTCTGTCTCTTGCTTCTGGACTGTACCGACCATCCAAAGTCTGCAATTTTCAGTCGACCCTACGAAAATATAATGTAATCAAGTAATCAAACACAGTTCCTCAACTTGTTCAATGACAATACGTAACCTAAGTGCAGACATAAAAAACATAGCTTCCAGTTATTGAATCAAAGTATAGAATAGTTGCATCGGGATAAGAACTCATATTTGGGCTCAATCTTCTTGAAAATATTAATCGCATATCATTATTGTACAATAGCAGTGGAATTTGAAGTCGAGCACCAGCAGCCACGGTTTTGGCCAAACTATTTCTTGAACACAAAAAGGAACTACCAATGACAACAATGAGAGTCCCCCCAATCTCTACATATATACAGGTAAACCAACCCTGGTTGCAATTTCTCCTAAAATTGCATAAAGAAAACCACATCCCTAAAAGGTTAACCTTGAAACCAAAATAACTGACCTATTTTCACTTTTTCTATATAAGTAGGGAAAAAAACTTCAACACTGAACAAGTGAAAATGCTGTGATTGTTACTGTTTGGGATCAGAAGATGTATAACATTTATCGACTTCTAAACATTTGGCAGAAATTAAGGGATTACGAGTCAGATTTCCCATCTGTTCCAAACCCAGAACCCAAACAACCCTGGCATAGGGCAAAAAATTGGAGAGGTTGTAGCATATATATACCTCATGATCCAGAAGCAAATTTTCAGGCTTTATATCCCTATGAATGACATTCTTCTCGTGACAATACGCCAAAGCTTGCGTCAAGCTCAGAATGTACTGATAATCATATGAAATTTGATTAATTTCTAAAACAGAGAGAGAGAGAGAGAGAGAGAGAGAGAGAGAGAGAATTACAGTGGCGGCTTGTTTCTCAGAGAGGTAATTAGTTTTCCTGAGAAGCCCATAAAGCTCACCGCCATGGGCATACTCGAGGATCAAGAAGATGCGTTCGTCGTCGTGGAACCAACCGTAGAGGCGAAGAATGTTGGGGTGCCTGAGACTGGTCTGAATCTCCATCTCTCTCCTCAGCTGATGTTGAATCTTGTACTTCTCGATTTGCTCCTTGAATATCACCTTCAATGCCACTATATACTTGCTCTGCCCCCAAAAAAATTTACCCAAAAATCAATCATTTCAAATTCTAAATTGTTTTCGGTTTAATTCGATTGAAAAATTCAATACCTTGGCTTCTCGGGCAACGTAGACTCGCCCGAATTTCCCTTTGCCCAGGGGTTTTCCGATCTCGAAGTCTCGCAAGGACCATTCTCTCTTTGGGCTTTCTTGCCCTTTCTGGGTTTCCATTTCTTCTGATATTTCCACAGAGAGAGAGAGAGAGAGAGAGAGAAACGACCACTATGTGGAAAATTTGAATTTTCCTTTTAGCGCCACAGCTGAGACACTGTATTGATTTTTCTAAGGAGCCCCTGAAAATAAATTATTTTTTTTAAATTTAAAATTTAGGGACAAAATGATATTCTAAAGTACGATACTCAACAGATTACACTCTTTGGACACCCAAAAATATGGAATTTTTTTTGTTGGCGAAAACCCGAAAAAGGGGGATTAAAGACTTGAACTCAGGTAAGGACTGCATTGTACATGTATGATGTCCTGCCTAACTAGCCTAAAGAACTCAGGTAAGGACTGCATTGTACATGTATGATGTCCTGCCTAACTAGCCTAAAGGACTGCATTGTACATGTATGATGTCCTGCCTAACTAGCCTAACTCACGGGACGGCTATCTCTTGTCGTCTTTCTTAATTTGATTTTCTAATCGTCCGATTAGATTTGCTCTCCAGTGACTCCTTGCTATTATTACTGCATTTTTTTTTATAGTTAAAAACTTTTGAAAACCAAACTATTAGGGCAGCTTTTTGCACATCCCTATTTTGAAAGATAAAATTCCGATATGTTACACATCATTTATAACGAATTTGGTAACTCTTAACATTATTGAAAATTCATATGATCGCTCGCTCGCTCGCTTGCAATGATCATCTGAATATCAACTTCTTCATTGGCACTCGGAGAAAAATATTGGAAATTTTACAATTTCTTGGTACATTAAAGATTTTGTCAATGCATCTACAATGGCCTTCCGGCGTCGAAAACCCAACTATGATTATAATATACAAAATATATATAGTACACCTTACCCAAAAGAATACAAAGAATTAAGAGCAGGCAGAGACCAGTTTGAGGCGAGGTGTGTGCCATGTACACAATTAGATATGCTTTTTCCTTCTTTTGGGTTTTCACATCCCACCTCCTGGCTCTTTTCAGCATCGTTCTTTGTACCGGTGGCGGCATATAAACAAGGCTGCTTTGATCATATAAACCATAGAGAGTCCTGTAATAGGCATTCAATTAGAGCCGAAGTCCTCGTTCCAGCGTTCAAGCTCTTCCCACTTGCTTTTGCTTAAGCTTGGCCTGATTACAGTCATTGCCTTCTGAAAATCTTCATATCTTAGTGGTCTTACCTGGTAAACAAATAACGACATGAACACATGTGACTGGAATGAGGAAATTCTTTTATAGAATAGAAACTTCTGCAAATAAAGTACTTCCATAAACAATAATAACAAAAAAAAAAGGTTATCACTTAAATTACTTCAATTTAAGTGGAATGGAATAGGAAGAATTCAGAGAATGATGCACTTTGCATAACATTTTCTATGGCCCATAAGCTTTTCCTATTAAGAAATCAGTTTCAAACATGAAGAATTCAGATCCAAGATCCAGTTCTTCATTTATCAGATCAAGCTCTCATAATTTTTTTCCCAGCCTCCAAGGAAACCAGAATAGGAAAAAAATATTTTCAATGAACCATATTCTCAGCAAAAAGACTTGCATGAAATGAATCAGATCATTAAAGTAAAGATGTGTTTGAGGCAAATTTACTTCTATATCTACTAAAGCATAGACCAAAAATTAATTAACATTTATAGACTGCTGTACAACCTATTTATTTGAGGCCTTGTTGTTGGTATAATACCTGATTTGCCTTGATTGTGAGAATGTTTTCACCCAGTTCCCTAATAGGCATCATTGCAGCTTCTTCACACAATGCTTGCAGATCACTTCCTGAATATCCTGTATATAAGAGTAACAATTGAATAATTTATCAGAATGATAATTATTTGGTGAGGATTTTCATTAAGGTTCAATTCCACCACAACACTGGCTGTAAACCAGCAACCACTAGGTGAGTGCAACCAGCTGTAAACCATCAACCACTCGCTGAGCGTAACTGAGATTGGTAGCACCCAGTGACTCAACATTGGTCAAATTAGTTTAGCAAAATGAATTTACTTATCACTGCTATCTGAAAAGCACTTCAGAAGGGTATAACAGGGAAAATGTTCTTACCTTCAGTCTCTCTTGCGAGTCTTTCAAGATCTCCACCTAATACAAGCAATAAGAAGTAAATTTCGTAAGAAGATTAACCACAAGGCACAAAAGGATGCTTGCTTAATTCACTCACTTTGGTTATTATTTGTCTTGTTGGAATAAATATTATTTATAAAAAAAAAGTTCCAAAAACGTTTCCTCAGACATTATGAACACTTTTATCTTTAAGTTACTACAAAATGACATATCTCCACTGTAATAAGAGACACCAATGAAGATACCAAAAATCAGTACACCAATTAAAGTAGTCAACTACAACATTGTGTACATCATACTAACCACAAAATATGGGATCAAGAATCTTTAACAGAAAAATATCCAACAAGAAGGTTACGAGATAAGAACATATTCTTACTTGGTAAGGAAAACGCTTGGCCCTTGAGTTTGTGCCTCAGAAGCAGTCTCCTTGCTGTTAAATCTGGTAAGGGTATGTACACTCTCTTCACCTGGTTCAGGGTTTCATATTACAGTGAGAAGGATACTTCTGAATGTATTGATCAAATTGTTACCAGAAAAAGCAATTAGAAGTAAAAAGAACGGATATCAACAATTTATAAAGTTTCCAACAGGGGAAAAAGATGAGAAGGATAATTCTGAATGTATTGATCAAATTGTACCCCATGTACCTTTTGTTTCTTTGATTAAAATCTTTCCGAGCAGAAAACATCGAGACATAACCACTATTAAAGTAACAGAAGAACCAAACAGAGTGTTCACTACAAGCCCAAACATTTTCCTAAGACACAGCCCTATCTTCAGGTATAAATATCAGATAAATATGCTTCAAATACTGGATAAGCATTAGACGTGCGTGCATGAGCACAGACATGTACATATTTTTTTTAAAGTATTGATTCATAAGATAGTAACCTGGAGAATTAATTTTATTAGCAATTCAAACTTTTAAGTCCCTAGAAAAATCAAGTCTCAGAATATTGAAAGAGAAAACCAAAAGAAGAAAAAAAATACTACTAACCAGTCTTCTAAGAACCGCATCATCCAGTTCTTGTGGCTTATTAGTAGCACCTGCAAGCACATAAGAAAAGATATCAAAGGATGTACTATAATTTATTCAGGTCTAAGTGTGTTAAAATGCAAAATTGAAACAGTCCCAAAAACGGACTTCAAGAAGATAATGAGATAAAAAGGAAAGTAAGGATCTATGTTGAGACAAAAGAAAATAGTACAGAAGTTTACTAGGTCCCTCCCTCCTTCCAACCTGTTTAATTTTATTGTTTGAGGGGATCAAGAAAGTTTATTACTAATTTCCAATGAATTAACATCCAAATTTAACATTACTTTCCTTGATCAAGGTCCCTTAGGGGCAGCAGACTCTAATGATAACATATAAGAAGGGTAATGTATATCAAGTTGGCATTGTCGAAGCAGGCAGGGTAGCCAAGACTTTCATCAACACTGACGTACAATTTAATAAAAGGAATGGCCTTTACCATTTGGGGTGGGCTTTGGTTGAATTGAGATATAAAGTTTTCATTAAAAAAAGAGAGGAGATATTAAAGCTTACCAATCACAATTACCAGATCATTAGGATTAGAGGTCACCCCATCAAACTGTATTAAAAACTCTGACTTCAACCTTCTGCTTGCATCATGTTCATTTGCAAGCCTTGTTGACATGATACTATCAATCTGTAAGCACACAAAAAACAGACACAATTATATCGCTGATATAATGTTGAACAGTAAAAGCATCAAACTGTAGTCACCTATAACAGTTATACACCCTCGAGATGACTAAGAAACTGATACAAAAAAAAAAAAATTAGCTGTAACACTAGATATTGTGAGATACCAATGACATTTAACAACAAATGCAAATAGAGATAATGACCACATACTAATCTCTGATCATTCATCCAGTTTTCCAAATCAACTATACAGTCCTCAAGTACAAGCATGAAATAGCATACTTCATAACACCATCAATAAGATGAAACAGGTGAAGCTGGTGCTTTTTGAAATTGAACGTAAAGTTAATAGTTTGCAGGAAAAGTAGCATACTTCATCCATGAAAATTACTGATGGCTGTCTGGATATAGCAACCATGAAAAGGGTTCGCACAAGCTTTTCAGCCTCTCCTACCTATTTCAGTGCAAGTAAAACTTATTATAATTCCTATAAGGACAAAAAAATAATTACAAATATAAGAAAAAGAAAGTGCAGCACCAAGGACAGAGACACACCCATTTTGATGTCAGTGAAGAAGCAGATACATTAAAAAATGTTGCCTCGGACTCTGAAGCAACTGCCTTAGCAAGCATGGTCTTCCCATTACCAGGTGGACCAAACAAAAGCAGACCTGAAAGACATAGACAAAGTTTTTTATGAAACAAGTTCTTTTTCTGCTTCACTGGTATCAATATGGATGATACAGTCTTACAAAGCATTACCTCTAGCTGGCCTTCGTAGACCAGTGAACAAGTCTCTTCTCTTAGTTGGTAAAATAACCATCTCCATCAAAGTTTTCTTAACCTTCTCAAGACCGGCTGCAGAGAAACTGAAATGAGTAACTTGGTAATCTTAACAAACACGGCAACCAAAAATAAAAGAAAAAGAAATATAGAGACAAGAATAGTGAGTATGTGATAAATTCCTCACCTACATCTTCCCACTTAACTGAAGGGCTTCTATCCACTATAGCACTATTTATCATTTCCACTAATTTTGCATCATAACCACCACCAGTCTCTTGCACAGGTTTTGAGCTTACAATATTATTGGTCTGAATCTGATTCCTTATTTCGGGTCTGTTTGTAGTGGGATGAGGAGACTTGGGTAACACATGCTTTCTGGCATTTGATGTCGTTGGTCTAACTACAGCAGTCTGCACATGATCTAAGGTGCTCTGCAAAGATTTTGATTTTGATTTTTAGATATACAGTGCATAGTAATCTTGAATCTTATCAAATGCTCAATTCTTCCCATGCATTTGTGAATACACATTAGGTGCTTGAGATAATACTATTGTGCATAAGTCTAAAGAAAGTTTCAATTGAAAAAAAAAAAACCAAAACAAAACAAATATGCAGAACTCTTTAGTCAGACCAAACCATACTTTGCTTACAGACGTGCCACCTGAAAATGAGGACAGGGAGAAACAAATGCAAAGAAAGAAAAGTCAGAAGTAGAGTTGAATGCATCTATGTTAGTTTGGAGACAATGCTCATTTAAGTTGAATCAATAGGAGATATTACCTGCTCGCCTACTTAAGGCCTGTAACCTTTCAGAAACTTCACCCTGCCATTTTGATATTTTTTGGCGATAAGATTTGACCTTCCCTCGCTCACTGCCACAAAGAACAGACATTTTATTATGATAACAATGGAAAAGCATATCAGAATCGATCATCATGGTTGACTTGATAATGAATTTATGTTTGCTCTCTCTAACGAATTTGCAAGAATGCAAATCATTTTCTTTAGGACATGCAAAACCATCCTTCGAGAGGGAAAAATCAGCCAACAAACCAAAGTCATGCTTTGCCTCCTATTCTAAGAGATGAAGCTCTTCACGCTGGAATTGCTAAAATCGTTATTTGTCACTGAAGTCATTAACCAAATACAAATACTCATGCCACTTTTACTTCACAACTTACACAAAAGACTTTCAAAAGTAAAGTTCATATGCTACAACACATTAATCACACTTACTCAGAAAAACTTGTACTTTTTCAATTCAAGATAAAATTTGTATCTAACATATAAATGGTCAAACTTTTATTTCTACAAAATATAAAGTCATAAACATATCTATACCTAGAAGGAAATTTAGAGACTACCCACCATTTGTTTCAGACTAGCAACTTCAGCAATACTTCAACAATAATCAAAGAAGAAAACAATTACAAGAATCAGAAACTAAGCTGAAAAATTGATAACCTGAGGCTGATATAGGAAGGCACGGGAGTGGATGTTGCTTCAACGAGAACTCTCTGGGCGTTGTTATAGTGAGCAATGGCGTCGTCGACTAAGCCCCACTCTTCAGCCCTAACAGCCTTGGCGATCTCATCCTTTGCCAAATCGAAGTACCCCCTAAGCTTGTACGCAACACGCTCGTTGGAGACCGAAGCTCCAGGTCCAGCTATGCCTTCCATGGTTGACGAATTTGGAGGAGAATCGGAGTTTGGGTGAGACTCGTATGAGGAGGAGGCGGCGGAGAAGATCGAACCAAAAGAATCGATGATCCCTTTGAGGAAACTCATGTCTGGAACAAATGCATGCCGATTATTGGGATGAGGACGAGGAGGAGAGAGAGTTTAGAGAGAGAAAGAGGGCTTTCTTACCATTTCCGGGCAAGTCATTCTTTATGGAGCTTAGCTTTTCAGACTCCAGCATACAAAAGAAATGAGATTTTCTATTTAAACCCCACACTTCTCTTAGTTCACCCCAATACTTAAATCATTAAGCTGTAAGTTTTATTATTATGTAAAAAGACAAAAAAGATCATCAAACCCTAATATTATTATGTAAAATACCATCTGGTTACACCTTCTTCCCTGTTTATCAGGTCCACATCATCTGATCTGTTACTAATTGTATTGCAATGTGCTGATATCACATATCGGCAAATCTGTGAAATCAAAATTAATAATTTAACTACTGTTATTAACACAAATCATTTTACCTATTTGCATGTGAGTTAAAAAAAAACAATTTTACAACAAAAAGTATTTAACTATTTTAATTAATTTCATAAATTACATAATTTTATTGGATGGTTTTAAATACTTTATATATAAAAGCAAATAAAAATAAGTGGAAAATATGATTTTACAATATTTAAACGTGTAGCCGTGCGGCTATACACTGTAAATATATAAAAGTATATAAGAATATTTTAAACGTATAGCCGAACAGCTATACGTTGTAAACATATACGAATTTTTTTTAAGCATAGCCGCCCGGCTATACTGATAAAATATATTAATATTTAACGAGTATAGCCGCGCGGCTATACTATATAAATGCATACGAATATTTTAAACGTATAGCCGCGCGGCAATAATCTTAAAATATATTAATATTAGGGTGAACTAAGAGAAGTGTGGGGTTTAAATAGAAAATCTCAAAGAAATTGAGCATTTAATTTTAAATGGAATATTTTAAAAGTACAGCCGATCGGCTATACTCTGTAAACATATACGAATATTTTAAAGGTAAAGCCGGTCGGCTATACTCTGTAAACATATAGGAATATTTTAAATGTATAGCCGAGCGGCTATACTCTGTAAACATATATGAATATTTTAACATTATAGCCGTACGGCGATACACTGTAAATCTATACAAATATTTTAAAAGTAGAGCCGTACGGCTATACACTGTAAATGTATACGAATATTTTAAAAGTATAGCCGTCCGGCTATACTGCACAAAATGCTTTTCTTTTTTTGTAATCAAGTAATATCTTTTCGACAATTTTTTAAGTAATTTATCTTAAGCCTTTTTCAATTACTTTAATCAGTAATTATATTTTAATTATTATTTCTTTAGTGAATATTTAGTATTTAAATATTTTACTAATTTCATAAATTACTTAATAACTAGTAATTAATTATTTTTAATTATTTTGTGTACTTTGTTTTTTATTTTATTTTATTATACAAAATTAGTTTGTTTCGTTTATTATTTTCAATTAAGTAATATCTTAGCCTTATTTAATTTTATTAATTATTATTTATGTATAATCCAAGCCCAAGCAAAAGGTGAGGCCCAAGTTCCACTCCACTAGGCCCACTTTCCATATAACACGTGTGGGAAGACTCCCACTTATAAGGCGTAAAGACCTTCTCTTATTTTCAATGTGCGACTCAAGTTCATGTATTTCATTCAAACTCCAACAATTAGTTGATATTATCGAATCACGTTGTGACTTTGATTTAGGGTTTGGAGACTAAAATCCATTTTTGGAATACAAAGGACTTGATTAGCCACAAACATGTAAATAATAAAAGTCAACCAGATCCTAACAGAGCGAGGATCTGAACTCATTAAAATTGCACAACATTAAAAGTTTATAATTATTTAAGTATATAAAAAACAGTATAATAACAACATATTAAGGTGATGATTGGCTTAATCCAATATTAAGAGTCGTTTAGATTTAAAATGAAAGTAGTTATTAAGAATTGTTTATTGTTAACTTCCTATTTTTACTAGAAATTTATTGGATGGATGGTTTTAAATACTTTATAAATAATTATGGAAGAAAATAAAAAGGATAATAAGTGGAAAATACATTTTGAAGTATATCACAAAAATAAAACAGTTTAATGATTTGTTTTGAAAAGTGTTCAAACAATTTTTGCACAATATTTTATTTTTAGAATTTTAACTATTCAAGGGGATTCAAGGGGATTCAAGGGTTCGAGTATGTTTTGAAGAAAAAAGAGAAAAGTTGTTTTAGTGTGGTTAAATTTCTAAATTTTTAAAAAAGAAACAAAATGTCAATTTCCCAAATATGCCAAGTTTGATCTTAATTAGTTTTTTTTGCAAAACTAAAGGCAAAAAATGGTCAGAAACCACATTTTATATACCACCACCTTGTGTACCACCTCTAGACCACCATTACAATGCGTCCCACGTCTAATAGAGGTGGTACACAAGATGCCATCTTGAAGATGATATATAAAATGTGATCTCCCTAGCATTTTCCTGAATCTTATTCACATCACCAATTTAATCAGAACTTCTAGTATGATAGCATGTAACATGTTGAGCCTATGTGTTTTGTTTCAAAATCAAAGGGCTCCTACTTTTGAGCCACTTATTAATTGTTGGTTGCTGATGGGTCTTATGCTTTTCTTCAACTTTTCTCTCTTTTCCCCCTTAATCTTTGTTTCTTTCCACTCTTTTTTGTTTGTTGTTTTTTGGTTTTGGTAAATAAAATTTATTGCAAACCACAAAGAGAATGCTCCAAAAGCTAGCATCCCTAGAGAAAATGCAATCAGCCTTCAGCACCAGCAGAAGAGGAATGAACATGACTTATTGGGTTAAGTATGGAAACCTTGTATAGCTCAACATCATGGAAAATGGTGGTTTTATGGTGAGGTGAGACCATGGCTACGCATCTTAGATTGTTATAAAAATGTTGACATATTCTTGGTGAAGTGGAAAATAAGTTGGAATTGGAAGAAATAGTCCAATCCTTAACAGGTAAGACTCTACGCATCCCAGCATATGATATAAGTCCATGCACATTTGTTAGAAATTTTGACACATTTTGATCATCAAGATGAAAGTGAGTATGGGAAATTAGAAGAAAGAGTCCAATCCTTAACAGGCAAGAATGACTGAATTACCAACCTTCATCAGTAAGAAAGTTTCGGAGCTGGTTAGGTACACTCTCCTAGTCTCCTGACTAGGAATCAATTGCTATAACTAGAAGATAACAACCGTTGATTCAATCTGTCTTTCAAACAAATCAAGATCAGAATGCGGGCCCGCTAACAGATCGATGGTCCTGATCAGCCATGGCCATGGGGAACACAGAACCACCATGTCAACACTCCCACAAGAATGTCTTCGCCCCAATAAAAAAAAGATAACAAAGAATTTGCACCATCCAATCTCATGGATTGATATCCTTTTTCTGTTTTCTTCTTTTGACAATCAAACCATATAAATAATAAACAAACGTCGAAGTTCCTCAGCTAGCAGTCGTTTTTTTCTCTTCATTTCACTTTCATAGATAGATGCAACCTATGAGAATAAAGCTTCCTCTGTCTTACATATATAGGTCATTTTCTCTTTTGCCAAACAGTTTAATATGTTATTTGATTAGACTATTAATTTAAGCCAATATTTAACCAACACGCCCACTTGATCATACTAAATTTTATATATAACATGCTATACTGTTGACATTTTCTGGATTTTCCTATATATATATATATATATATATTGCTGTCTTTGCCTCTTTAACTAAACAAGAAAGATGAGTATTCTCTATATCATACTCACCTTCATATCATTCTCAGTGCTCTTTCTCTTCCTAACCTTCTGTTTGCTCATACTTATAATCTTCACAGGCAAGTCCATCAGAAACCCAATTTACCCTCCTGTAAAAGGCACCATCTTCCACCAGCTCTTCTACTTCAACAGGCTCTATGACTACCAAACGGAAATGGCCAAAGAACACCCAACTGTTCGGCTTCTTGCCCCTGAGCAAAGTGAAGTATATACGACTGACACACGAAACATTGAGCATGTTCTGAAAACCAACTTTTCCAAGTACTCGAAAGGGAAGTATAACCAAGATATTGTGTCTGATATTTTTGGCCAAGGGATATTTGTTGTTGATGGAGAAAAGTGGAAGCAACAGAGGAAGCTGGCGAGCTTCGAGTTTTCGACAAGAGTTCTTAGAGATTTCAGCTGTTCTGTGTTTAGAAGAAATGCTGCTAAACTGGTTAGAGCTGTGTTTGAGATTTCAGGTGCCACTAAAAGTTTTGATATGCAAGTGAGTAATCTGAAACTAATAAATGTTTTTTCTGTAAATTGCCTTCTGCTCTTGTTCAGATTAGAATATTAGCTATTTTATTATCAGAAGAACCAAATTGTTTGACATGCAGTTAATAACTGTTTGCTTGAGTATGTAAGTTGTTCTGTATTGTTTGCATATGATTTTCTTTTTCTTGCATATGATTTATTTGCAGGATATTCTTATGAGATGTACCTTAGATTCTATATTCAAAGTTGGGTTTGGAATAGACCTGAATTGCTTGGAGGGGTCAAGCAAAGAAGGGACTGCATTTATGAAGGCCTTTGATGATTCAACTGCTCTGGCCTATTGGCGCTATGTTGATCCATTCTGGAAATTGAAAAGGTTTCTTAACATTGGTTCCGAAGCCGCGCTTAGAAAAAATGTCAAAGTCATCGATGATTTTGTCCACCAACTTATCAGGAGCAAGAGGAGATTGCTAGCAGGGCAAAAGGATCCTGTAAGTGATTTTACATTCTTGTTCTCCGAAAAAGCAAAAACAATTCTCTATGTTTCTTACATGATTTCATTTCAACTTCGTTAATGAAATCCTGAATTTTATTTTATGTTTTGAAGAACGACAAGGAGGACATACTGTCGAGGTTTCTGTTGGAGGGCGAAAAGGATCCGGAGGAAATGAATGACACATATCTAAGGGATATAATTCTGAATTTTATGATTGCTGGCAAAGATACCAGTGCAAATACACTCTCATGGTTCCTGTACATGCTCTGCAAGAACCCTCTGATACAAGAAAAAGTTGCACAAGAAGTGAGGGATGTTGTTGGTGGTCCGGTTGGTGACCCTGATGAACTTGTGGCCAATATAACTGATGCAGCTCTTGAAAAAATGCATTATCTTCACGCGGC